GGGGGGGGGGGGTGGACAGAGGATCTGAAGCCAGCTCTGCCATGACAGGCTGTCGGTGCAGAGCCCGCTTTGCTTGGGATTCTCCCTCTCCCTCTCTCTGCCCCTCCCCTGCTCTCAAACTCTCTCTCTCTCTCTCTCTCTCAAAATAAATAAACTTAAATAAGAAAATATCATTATTTGTAGGAAAATACTTCGTTACTGGTATTTCTTGTGTAAATATTTATTAGTTTTCTAAACCAGTACTTTTGGTTAACTGGAAACATAGCTCCAGTGAAAAGAGGAAGAGGAATTATTTGAGTCTTCGATAGTAAATACTTTTTCTAAGTAGGAGATTATTCAACAACAGAGATTAAAAATTATTTTTCTGTTCTCTTGCAAGAATTATGATGGACTCATCTTTTATCCATCATCACTGATTCAGAATGTATAATTCAAGATAATCAGTCATGTATCCCTTTTGTCATTGCATTTGTCATCCAGAGCTCCGTATTAAGTCTCTTCTGTTTCTTGGAGAAACCTAGGAGTCTTGGAAATGTACCTGACTTTTTGGCAAAGATACCTTACACCTTCCCTGCCTCATTCCAGAAATTGTTTATTTCGTAAAGGACTCTCTATTTTATATTAATGGATTATCGGTGAATTATTTGTATGACATTGTCTTTTAACTATATCCTAATTCTTTTTTTTTTTTGGTCTGGAGATTTGTCTTTTTTTTTTTTGCTATCAATTTCTGCTGTGTGCTCAGGGGTTATAGTTCAGTGCTGAATGACACAGGGGTTGGGACTGCTTTGGGGGAAAGTGTTCGTTTTCTATTGCTTTGTAACAAATTACCACACATTTGGCAGCTTAAGACTACAGTCATTTATTATCCCATAGTTCCGTAGACCAGTTCACAGGATGACTAAATCTGAGTATCAGCTGCGACTACAGTTCTTTAGGGCATAGGGCCTTCTAGGCTCACTGATTATTGGCAGAATTTATTTCCTTCTCACACTTTCCATGTGGTCCCCTCCATCTTCCGGCCAGCAGCCAGCAAGTCTTGTCCTTCTCACACTTTGAATGTCCCTGGCTCTCTTTCTGCCCTCAGCCAGGAGAAAGCTCTGCTCTTTAGGGAATTATCCAGGTAAGCCAGGTTGATGTCTCCATCTCAAATCAACTGATTAGTAACCTTAATTATATATCATTTGTCATGTGATGCAACATATTCACAGGCATGATAATGGCAAAGGCCATGAAGACCAAAATACTATCAACCACAGGTAGGTGTGGGGGAAATAAATTAAAACTTTTAGCAAAGAGAAATAATTGTGTAATTGAAAACAGGTTGGAATTACAAGAATTAAGTGTTATAACAGAAGCTAAAGACATGGGCATCCTTAGACAAGGTCAGCAATTTACAGTATTCCTGATAAAGTGATATTTCACCTTAAACATATATAGGATGAGAAAGATCCAGTCTGCAAACAACACATGCCAGAGAATTTGGGGGAGATTACCATCACCTGCAGATGGAACCAAACGATGAGAAAACTTGTGACACATTCCAACTGCTGAAAGGGGAAAGTGAGGTAAAGAGGGAACAAAGAAAATTCTGACTTGATATGAGGGCTGATAGGTAAGCAGGAATCATATTAATGAAAGATACATGGATTTTATTCAAAGTGTAAAGAGAAGTCACAGTGGGGCTAAATGAAATTTTATCTGTATCAGAAACATTTGTTAGAAATGTTAAACATATTCGTGCCCAGAACTTGCCCTGTGTCTTCTGATTCAGGAGGTCTGGGATGGTGCGTGGGTACAGTTTTTCAACATGCTCCTCAAAGATCCTGATCCACACTTAAATATCAGAAATGAAACCTATTTTATCCCCAACCTTACTATTTTAAATAAACTCTCACTAATCTCTGCATTTCTCTTTGACCTTGAAAACATTTTTATAACAGTATTTTAGTATAATCTAGGCTTTTGATATCTAATGGATATTTTTAGTCTCTTTTCTTCCAGAGAAATCTATTCCTGTATTTTCTCATATAGGAAAACAGATATTTGTTTTTTGTTTGTTTTCTTTCAGATTTTCAGTCGAAGGATGAGACAGCAATAAAGAAATGCCCACCATTGAGAAATATACATCTTTTGCTTTACATCCGAGAATTCTTAATAGAGAGCAATTATATGAATATCAGGAATGTGGGAAGACTTTTTGTCAGTACTCAAACCCTGTTCAACGTGAGAGAACACATTCTACTGAAAAACCCTACAAATACAAAGAATGTGAGAAGAACTTTAGTAATGGACATCGGCTCACTGTACATCAGAGATTTCATACTGGTGAGAAACCTTGTAAATGTAAGGAATGTGGGAAGTCCTTTAGTACCTTTTCATACCTTGTTCAACATCAGAGAACTCACACTGTTAAGAAAGTCTATGAATGTAAAGAATGTGGGAAGGCTTTTATTAGAGGCTCAGGCTTTGTTAAACATGGGAGAATTCATACTGGCGAGAAACCATATGAATGCAAGGAATGTGGGAAGACCTCTGGTAGTAGCCATAATTTACTGTACATCAGAGTAGTCATACTGCTAAGAAAGCTTATGAATGTGGGGAATGTGGAAAAGCTTTTTATAGTAGCTCATACCTTGTTCAACATCAAAGAATCCATAGCGGTGAGAAACCCTATGAATGTAAGAAATGTAGGAAAGCTTTTATAGTGTATGGAAAACTTCTTCAGCATCAGAGTATTCATACTGGTAAAAACCTTTTGTGTGTAAAGAATGTAGGAAGGCCTTTAGTACCTTCTCATACCTTGTTCAACATCAGCGAATTCATACTGGTGAGAAACCCTATGAATGTAAAGAATGTGGGAAGGCCTTTAGTAGTAGCTCACCCCTTGTTAAACATCAGAGAATTCATACTGGTGAGAAACCTTATGAATGTAAGGAATGTGGAAAGGCCTTTAGACTTAGTTCATTTCTTAATGCGCCTCAGAGAATTCATGCAGGGGTAAAGCCCTATGAATGCAAGGAATGTGGGAAAGCCTTTAGTCGTGCCTCATACCTTGTTCAACATGAAAGACTTTATACAGGTGAGAAACCCTGTGCGTGTAAGGGGTGCAGCAAGGCTTTTAGTGCTGGCTCATACCTTGTTCAACATCAGAGGATTCATACTGGTGAGAAACCCTACGAATGTAAGGAATGTGGAAAGACCTTTCAAGTACGTGTACATGTTACACAGCATCAGAAAATTCATGTTGATGTGAAACCCTATAAATGTAAGGAATGTGGAAAAACAGTTGTGCCTCATACCTTGTACAACGTGGCAGAATTCATACTGGTGAGAAACCCTATGAGTGTAAGGAGTGTGGGAAGGCCTTTAGTTCTGGCTCTTACCTAGTTCAACATCTGAGAATTCATACTGGTGAGAAACCCTTTGAATGTAAGGAATGTGGCAAGACCTTTAGACTTAATTCCTTCCTTACTGAACATCAGAGGTTGCACACTGGTGAGAAACCCTTTAAGTGTAAAAAATATGGGAAGGACTTTGGAGACAGTTCAGCCCTTAAAGCAATCAGAGAAACCATATGGGTGTAAAACCCTAAGAATTTAAGGAATTTGGGGAGTCCTTTATGTATGACTCAAACATTATTTAGCATCAGAATTTATGCTAATGAAAAACCTATATGTAAAAAATCTTGTAGGCCTTTAGAAAATATTCTCGTATTACAGAATTCATAATGGAATTCAGAAAACATAGGAAAGCCTTCATTTGTCATTCTTGTGTTTATAATATCAGAATATTTGGGATTGGTGGCCAATTCAGAAAAGGTAGGAAACTTTAGTACAGCATTGGTAGCATGAAATTTGATATGACCTATTCCATGGTTGAATGAACTAGTGAATAAAAAAAAACGTCCAGTTACTCTTAAATCATTGCTGAACTTCAGATAATCCATCCTAGTTAAAAAAACAAACAAACAAAACCAGTTAATGTATATTGGAAAGCACACATCAGCTCCCATCATTGTCATGCCACCGCCTTCCAACCTGTTTGACCCCAGGCTCCATACGTGCTATTTCAGGGCATTGCTTTAAAATGGTGGTATTAGAACCTACATACTCGTAAAAACCTATGCCTGATATTTATTAATTTTACTATTAGCATGTTTTTCAACTGCTAGTGAAATTTTGAGAGTAAGACCCTACAGGTGTAGTTAATTTAGAAATGCCCTGGGGCACCTGGATGGCTCAGTAGGTTAAGACACCGACATCGGCTCGGGTCATGATCTCACAGTCCGTGCGTTCAAGTCCCGCATCAGGCTCTGTGTTGACGGCTCGGAGCCTGTCTCAGATTCTGTGTCTTTCTCTGCCCCTCCCCCACTCACGCTGTCTCTCAAAAATGAATAAACATTAAAAAAATCTTAAAAAGTTAAATGCCTTTATATTCGTGTATCCATTTTATAATTTTAGGTAAATCTCTCTGGATAAAACTTTGTAGAAAGAAAGAAATGAGAGGATATTCATTTTGAAGTCATCCCTTAAATTGAATTAATGCTTGAAAGATACTCAGTCTTTCAATGTATGTGAAGTTGTTGAGAATAGCCTATAATCCTCATTCTTTGTCCAAAACTCAGGGTAAGTTGGAAATAATGAGAGAAAAATAGTGTCCACTTGGAAATTTCTTTTACAACTTTTTTGTTAATAGAAATTTTAACAGAGAAAAGTTGAAAGAATAGTAAAATTGCCACATCTTTGGTAACATTTTGCCTTATTTATCTCTACTTATCTCTCCATGTATACATGTTATTTCTGCATGTAAGAGGGAGTTGTAGACTTCACTCCTAAATAATAGCCTTCTACTCTTTTTTTATAAAAAATTGTTTAATGTTTATTTTTGAGAGAGAGACAGAGTACGAGTGGGGGAGGGGCAGAGAGAGGGAGACACAGAATCCGTAGCAGGCTCCAGGCTCTGAGCTTCCAGCACAGAGCCTGATGCGGGGCTCGAACCCACAGACTGTGAGATCATGACCTGAGCTGAAGTCGGATGCTTCCCAACTGAGCCACCCAGGTGCCCCTATATACTCTTGAGTCCCACCTTTTTACATGATTTTGGGGGGAAAGTCCAAGGAAGTTGTGTTAGAGAATGCTTCACATTCTGTATTTGTTTTCTCAGTCACCTAACTTGTTCCTCTACCCAGATTTTTTTCTATAATTGGAAGTTACACAGATTTCACTGGGTTCTGAAGAACACTTCCAAGGTAATGCTGCAGTTTTTGTAAACACATAACTAAGTATTGAAACTTGGATAGGGTAGTCACTGCTGGAGCTTTCCACTGTACGGAGGCTTCTTGCGATTAATGATCTGAATAGTGATAGTTTTAACATCTTGATTTGGGAAGTCACCACACGTATGCATAAGTTTGGGATTAAAGAGAAAACCAAAAATTATGAAATTGAGGTCTACTCAGAAAAGGTAATGAGATGCCTGTGTATCAGAAATTTTCATGTGAGGCCAGAACTGTAATTGGAACATTAATTTTAAAACAACAAAATTAATTAGAAAATTATTGTCACCGTGTATACAATTAACAAATCTGTGAAAAGAGGAAACAATCATATACATTTGTTCTGGGGCCATTTCTTGAAAAGAATTATCTTTCTCCATTGAGTTGCTTTTTGGAAATCAGTAGACTACATAAATATATTCATTTCCAAATACACTTCTCATACCATTGTACCATGTGTCTATTATTCTAACAATACTGAAGAGTATTACTGCACGTTTCAGAACTGCTACTGCTTTGTTGAAAGTCTTTTTTTCAATTACATCTTTGCAGATCAAGTTGTCAATTGCCATGGGAGAAAACGTTTTGGGGAATTATAATGTGGAGTGTATTGAATCTATAGATCAATATGGAGATAATTCACTTCCATTAAGTCATAAACATATATTTCCTTTTACTTAGGTATTTAATTTCTCTCAGCAATGTTGTGTACTTTTCAGTCCTCCACATATTTTGTTAAGCTTATCCTTTAGTGTGTCATAATTCTTGATATTACGATAAATGCTGTTGCTGAATATATATGAATTTTTTTCTGGTATCGACTTTGTTTCCTGTGATATTAAATTTGAGTTCTAGTCGCTTTTCATAGATTGCTTAGATTTTTCTGTATACACAACAGTGTCATTTGTGAGCAAACACACTATGTCCTACCCAGTTTGAATTTTCTTCTCTTGCAGCATTTCCTACGGTGTCCAGTACACCAGTGTTGAATAGAGCTGATGAAAATGGACATCCTTGGCTTTCGTCGAATCTTGAGGGAAGCATTCCGTTCTTTACCGTTAAATATAATGTTAGCTTTTGATTTTTCATCCATGTCCCTTATCAGGGTGAGGGATTTTCCTTTTATCATTAAAATGAGTTGCACTTTGTCAAATGCTTTCTTTTTCAGCAATTGAGATTCTCATACAATATAAACATTTTTTTATACAGTGACTTACATTGATTTTCAAAAGTTGGCTCAACTTTTCATTCCCAAGATCATAGTGTACTTGTCATACATTCCTGCTTTCATTTTGCTAACGTTTATTAAGGAATTTTCACATCTATGTTGATGAGGGAATTTTTTGTTTTTTATTTGGGGGTTATTGACATAATTTGCATATAGTAACATTCACCCTGTTTAGGTATACAGTTCTATATTTTTTTTGACAAATATATACAGTCATATAACCATAACCACAACCAGGATACAGAATATTTGCCACCGCCCCCCCCCCCCCCCCCCCCCCCCCCAAAAAAGTTCCTCCATGCTCTTGGGTAATTAGTTCCCTTCCCCCAACCCCAGGTCATGACAACTAACCTATGGTTTTGTTGTTTGCAGAATGTCATACAAATACAGTCAGTAGACTTTTGTTTCTGGCTTTTAGCACAGTGCACTTGTGATTCATCCATTTTATTATGTGTATAAGTTCATTTGTTTTCATTGCTGAGTCGTATTCCACTGTGGGTGAACCACAATCTGTTTACCCATTCACCAGATGATAGCAATTTGGGTTGTTTCCAGGATGGGCAGTCATGAATAAAGGCACTGTTTGCACTTTTGTGTGGACGTTTTCATTTCTTTAGGTAAATGCCAAGGACTCGAAGTGCTGTTGTATGGTAAATTTGGTTTTAACTTTGGAAAAGTTTGGCAATTTCTTGTAAAGTGGCTGCGCCGTTTTACGTTCCCATCGTCAGTGTATGAGGGTTGCAGTTACACATCGTTGTCAGCACTTGGTGTTGTCAGCTTGTTTTTGTTTTCGGTTACTCTAATAGGTAGGTGTCTGGTGGTACCTCATTGTGTTTTTAATTTGCGTTTTCCATAATGGTCTATGTCTTTGGAAAAATCTCTGTTCAGATCTTCTGCTCATATTTTAATTGGATTTTTTGCTACTGAGTTGTAGGAGTTATTTTTTTTTTTTTAGATATTAACCCCTTATCAAATGTACCATTTGCAGATATCGTCTCCCATTCAGCAGGTTGCCTTTTTATACTGTTGATGGTTTCTTTTGCTGTGCAGAAACATTTTAGTTTGATCTAGTTCCATTTGTTTACTTTTGCTTTTGTTGCCATTGCCTCTGGAGTCAGATCCAAAAACTATCTCCAAGAGCAATGTCAAACAGCTTACTGCCTGTTTTCTTATAAGAGTTTTATGGTCTCCCATCTTATATTCAAGTCTTTAATCCACTGTGAGTTAAATTTTGGGTACGGTTTCAACATAGTGGTACAGTTTCATTCTTTTGGATGTGGCTCTCTGGGTTTCCCAGCACTGTTTATTGAAGAGACTGTCCTTTCCCCATTGTATATTCTTGGCTTCTTTCTCATAAATTAGCTGACTATGCATGAATTTATTATAGGCTCTCTATTCCATTGCATCGGTCTGTGTGTCTGCTCAATGCCAATACCATACTGTTTTGATTACTGTAGCCTTGTAATGTAGTCTGAAATCAGGAAGTGTGATGCCTCCAGCTTTGTTCTTCTTTCTCAAGATTGCTTTGGTGATATAGTACCTTTTGTGGTTCCATACAAATTTTAGGATTGTTCTATTTCTGTGAAAAATGCCATTGGGATTTTGATAGGGATTGCACTGAATCCATAGATTGCTTTGGGTAATATGGACATCTTAACAATATTAATTCTTCCAATCCATGAGCATGGAATATCTTTAGATTTATTTGTGTCTTCTTTGACTTCTTTTATCAATGTTTTAAAATTTTCAGTGTAAGGGCATTCTACCTCCTTGGTTAAATTTATTCTAGTTATTTTATTCCTTTTGATGCAATTGTAAATGGGATTGTTTTCTTAATTTTTTTCTGATAGTTTAGTATATAGAAACACAACTGGTTTTTGTATATTGATTTTGTATCCTGCAACTTTGCTGAAATTGTTTTTTAATTCAAATAGTTTTTTGGTGGAGTCTTCAGGGGTTTCTATATATAAAATCTTACTGTCCACAAATAGTGATAGTTTTACTTCTTCAGTTTGGATACCATCTATTTCTTTTTCTTGCCTAGTTGCTCTGGCTAGGACTTCCAATACTATGTTGAATAA